CAGCAGATAAATCGCAGAAATTGATGTCGGTCGGAGAACAGCGCATGAGTAATGTCCTGACAAAGACGGCAGCCTCCCTTATGACCAGGATCATTGTTGGATCCGTTTTCAATTTGCGCAATGTGCAAAATAAATCAAATGCTGAGGGATACTTAAAAAGCGCAGCCATGGCAACCTTACAGGAAGTTCAAACAGATCTGCGCTTTCCTGTGGTGTCAAATAAGGCATGTCCACACCTGACAGAGGAAGATGCTTCGGTCTTCACATTTTTCCACATTTGCTCTCAGTTTCTTTTCACGGTCGGGTAAAGAAAAGGTGCAGAGGATGCAGTTGGTTTTCCTCAAACCGGACCATTGGCAGTGGCACAAGCAGCCATTAATAACTGCAGAGGAAGCCCAGAAAAATCACATTGAAAAACAAGCTAAGCGAGTGCCTCCAATTTGATGTTAAAATATTTACTTTCAGCCACCTGTGGGAGGTCTCTGTTTCTCGTCTTCGCTAAATTAAACCGCTGCTAACTGCGTTACAGCTGCAGTCCCGGGATGCAGACGTGTTCTGGTAATTGTTTCTGTCTTCTGCACAGATGAAGGGCCACGTCGCACATTAGACAGGCCTGAAGAATTAGAGCCTGCGTGTACAAATGGTTTGGTTAGTAATTTCAGAATCGTTATAGAGGAATACAATAGTGCCAAGAGTTTTGAATGTCGAGGCTTGTTGATATTTCGACAACGGGTCCTGTGATGGGGAACAGGCCTCCAAGGGCCCACAAAGGGCCACTGTGGTATAAAATATTAGTCTGGCATGAGGGAGGCGGGACTCAAGAATTCAAGAAACAGCCATTTGTGATTATTTGATTTGTGCAGCTGGATTAAATCTAATCAAATGAACATATATATTCACACTTACTTCCATATGTGTGTTTGTGTGATAGATAGATAGATAGACAGACAGACAGACAGATAGACAGATAGATAGATAGATAGATAGATAGATAGATGATAGATAGATAGATAGATAGATAGACAGACGATAGATAGATAGATAGATAGATAGATAGATGATAGATAGATAGATAGATAGATAGACAGACGATAGATAGATAGATAGATAGATAGATAGATGATAGATAGATAGATAGATAGATAGACAGACGATAGATAGATAGATAGATAGATAGATAGATGATAGATAGATAGATAGATAGATAGACAGACGATAGATAGATAGATAGATAGATAGATAGATGATAGATAGATAGATAGATAGATAGACAGACGATAGATAGATAGATAGATAGATAGATAGATGATAGATAGATAGATAGATAGATAGACAGACGATAGATAGATAGATAGATAGATAGATAGATGATAGATAGATAGATAGATAGATAGACAGACGATAGATAGATAGATAGATAGATAGATAGATGATAGATAGATAGATAGATAGATAGACAGACGATAGATAGATAGATAGATAGATAGATAGATGATAGATAGATAGATAGATAGATAGACAGACGATAGATAGATAGATAGATAGATAGATAGATGATAGATAGATAGATAGATAGATAGACAGACGATAGATAGATAGATAGATAGATAGATAGATGATAGATAGATAGATAGATAGATAGACAGACGATAGATAGATAGATAGATAGATAGATAGATGATAGATAGATAGATAGATAGATAGACAGACGATAGATAGATAGATAGATAGATAGATAGATGATAGATAGATAGATAGATAGATAGACAGACGATAGATAGATAGATAGATAGATAGATAGATGATAGATAGATAGATAGATAGATAGACAGACGATAGATAGATAGATAGATAGATAGATAGATGATAGATAGATAGATAGATAGATAGACAGACGATAGATAGATAGATAGATAGATAGATAGATGATAGATAGATAGATAGATAGATAGACAGACGATAGATAGATAGATAGATAGATAGATAGATGATAGATAGATAGATAGATAGATAGACAGACGATAGATAGATAGATAGATAGATAGATAGATGATAGATAGATAGATAGATAGATAGACAGACGATAGATAGATAGATAGATAGATAGATAGATGATAGATAGATAGATAGATAGATAGACAGACGATAGATAGATAGATAGATAGATAGATAGATGATAGATAGATAGATAGATAGATAGACAGACGATAGATAGATAGATAGATAGATAGATAGATGATAGATAGATAGATAGATAGATAGACAGACGATAGATAGATAGATAGATAGATAGATAGATGATAGATAGATAGATAGATAGATAGACAGACGATAGATAGATAGATAGATAGATAGATAGATGATAGATAGATAGATAGATAGATAGACAGACGATAGATAGATAGATAGATAGATAGATAGATGATAGATAGATAGATAGATAGATAGACAGACGATAGATAGATAGATAGATAGATAGATAGATGATAGATAGATAGATAGATAGATAGACAGACGATAGATAGATAGATAGATAGATAGATAGATGATAGATAGATAGATAGATAGATAGACAGACGATAGATAGATAGATAGATAGATAGATAGATGATAGATAGATAGATAGATAGATAGACAGACGATAGATAGATAGATAGATAGATAGATAGATGATAGATAGATAGATAGATAGATAGACAGACGATAGATAGATAGATAGATAGATAGATAGATGATAGATAGATAGATAGATAGATAGACAGACGATAGATAGATAGATAGATAGATAGATAGATGATAGATAGATAGATAGATAGATAGACAGACGATAGATAGATAGATAGATAGATAGATAGATGATAGATAGATAGATAGATAGATAGACAGACGATAGATAGATAGATAGATAGATAGATAGATAGATAGATAGATCTCCCTCATTCTGTCTGCTGTGAGAATCATAAAGAGGTAAAGTACTAAACAGGTACAGCAGAGCATTCATATACAGTGTATCCTACTTTGGTATACTGTTTATTTGGCATCAGTATTGTTATTTTTATGGGCATGTTGAGATCAGAATTAGATTAGAAATCAGATTAGAATTAAGGTGTCTCTGACCTCTAGTGGTGAGCTGGATGAACTGAGTGTGTAATTACAGTGAACACAAACTTGTGTTCAGGTCACTAGAGAGCAAAAAAAACAGAAAATGTCAGCATTTACCTAAAAGCCTTCTCACAGCATGCTGCCAGATTAATAAAGACAGAGAGCTGATCCCAGGGGCCTCCCTACATCCTCGGGTTTGTGAAGCAAACTTTTTACGCCTTTCAGATGCAGACATTATTTTCTAGTATTGCTACTTGCTATGGTTGCAGGTGGTATTAGGGGAGGGGCAAACTTATTCCAAAGAGCATGTGATTGGACAAAAATCTGTACAGAGCAGAATGAGCCATAAGTATTGTCTGTTTTCCAATAAGTAAAGGGCTATAGTAGCCTATATAGGCAATACATCTTTGCTAAAAGTGAATACTGACGAGGTCAAACTTAACACACTGTATAAACTAGTATCTTTGACTTAATAGTGATTTCAGGAAGCCATGCCATTACTGCAAATAATTCATAAAACACTCTACCACAAATACCGTTTTAAACAAATAATAGTAAATAATAACATCAGAAAATCATTTTAAATGAGTCGCTTCCTCTGCTTTTTGTGGCTAAGTTTTTTTTCCCTTCTTTTTCTGCAAGTCTAATATATAATTTGACGTCATTTCTAAAATGTGAGATATTTGTTTTTCATAGTGTCAGTTTTTCTAAGTGTATGTTATTTACCCAATAGACTAAATAAGCGTGCAATATATTTCTTTACATTTACATATATCCATATATATATATATACACACAGTGTTGTTGGTAACGCATTACAAGTAACGCGAGTTACGTAATCAGATTACTTTTTTCAAGTAACTAGTAAAGTAACGCATTACTTTTTAATTTACAAGAGAATATCTGAGTTACTTTTTCAAATAAGTGACGCAAGTTACTTTTTTTCCAATGTATTGATTGACAGCTCTGGTGTTGCCACGGTGACAGAATCAGAAGATGTTACTGTAGTTCAAAAATAAATATGAATATGCATTAATTCATCTCACTCACACACACACACAGATTCAGTATTCCTCAAAATGAATAAAAATAATGCAACTCAGAATATGACGCAAACCTGCAATAATTAAATGTTAAACAACACAAATATGCTTTATGTATTTAATCCCGTTCTATTTGCTTCTGAGCTCTGATGATCCAGTTCAAGCGTACTAATAAGCACAAATTACTCCAGACACACATTTGTGTCTTTGTTTATTGCTGAAGAGTGTTGAAATGTCTTCTTCTGTATTCTACTGTACTTTCCCTTCAGCCTGAGGCGCATTCATTTCACTTTTGCTGTGAAAGGCTTTTATATTTGCCAAAAATATAACTTGTTTATTTGAAAAACAAACAAGCTTAACCTATCCAGCTTTAAAAGTAACGCAAAAGTAACGTAACGCATAAAAAGTAACTGAGTAACGCAATTAGTTACTTTTTTATGGAGTAACGCAATATTGTAATGCATTACTTTTAAAAGTAACTTTCCCCAACACTATACATTTATAAATGCAATATATATATGTCTCAATAACACGCGGCATAAACCTGTGGTGTTGTTTTTTACAGTCTAGGGTCGTAAACCATCCAACGTGACGGCTGTTTGGCAAAGTTCAAAGGCAAGCTGATTCGTTTATTTATTATTTTTCTTTATAGCGATTTACGATAAATGCCACTATAGATACATCACAAAGGCACTCGCTTCAAATGAAAATATGCCAAAGAAACACAACACGCAAGCCGCTTTGCGATTTTATTGCGCACACGTCCGCAGAAACAAACGCTGGAGTTGAAGTCGCGAAAGTGCGGCAGCTGAAATCTCACCGCGTTCCATCCCGCGCTGTGAGCAGTCAACACACCGGAGCTACACCGGGGCCAATGTCTCTGTTTTTCTTGCTGTCTGTGCGTTTTGGCGACCTGTTTAACATCGTTCACACGAGGCGCTCGGATCTGAGTGTCTACACGGAGCAAACGAGGCGGTTTGTGGCGGTGTTTGTGGACGAGAGCGCGACGCCTGTTTGTATTTGTGTTCACTGCGACACGGAAAGTGACAGAGCAGGATTCCTCGTCTTTAAACACTTCTGGAGCCTTAAACATGCTGTCGCACTTCACTTCTTTGGCTTACAGAGTCAGTTTTAGTACTTTAGCCGTCTTGCTGTAGGAGAGCAGGAGGCCTAATCATCATCATCATCACCTTCATCACCCCACGCCTGGTGTTTATAGTCTAATGTTTCGGATTTAAACACATCTGTCAGTGCTTAACTTGCTCTTGGACACGATGAGAGGATAGCAACAGTGTTAAGGGTCTACGTTAAGAAGTTAGGATCACATGATGTGCGATATTCTCTTTTAATGCGGATGCAACTGATACAGATCGACTTTGGAAGATGTTGTAGGTGTTGTGTTAGCAACACAGGATTGCTGAAGAAAGTGCTTGAGGCATAGGCTAGAGTCAGTTGCCTTATGCAGTCCTTTAAGGCAATGCTACAGAGGTCGTATGAATGCATAAATAAGGTTAGGGCCACCATTTAAAGCTATGATGTGAACTTTTAGTATGCGATGCACTTATTAAGGAGATATTGAACTGTTTCTCCCTGGGTTTGCGAGGATTGAAGTGCATTGTAGGTTCACTTCTGTTGGTTTTTAGTGTGTGGCAGGCAGTGGCGTGTGCTCCAGCTCCCTGGAAATGAGAAGATGAATTGCGAGGAACAAGCTGTAGATTTGTGCAATGCTATAGATTTGTGCAATGTGCCTGACAACACTATATCACACGCTGTGGACGAGATCCTTCCCCGTGGCGGCCTCCTGCTGACGGATGGAGATCTGGGGGAACGGGACGCTACCGTCCTGACCAGGTTAAAAGACGTCCATCCCAAGGATGATGGCTCCTCTGAGCTCAATGCACCACATGGTCAAAACAACGGCTCCATTGCTGTGTCAGCCGACCCTGTTAATGGTCCTGCTGGCGATCTGCAACAGAACATAAGCACGTTTGAGGAACCACTGGTGAGCAGATGCTCTGTTGGAGATGGTGAGATGGATATCGGTGTGGATTTAAGTCAGGATGAGAATGGCGTTTTGGAATGCGAGCCAACGGCCCAGACTCAAAGTGAGGAAAGCGCCTCCAGTCGTGAGAACTCGCTAACATCAGAAACTGTCACAGAACTGCATTCACAGCAGCCTCCGGAAGAACGTGGTGAGGATGTGCCCTCAGAAACCACGTCAGCGGCTACAACACCAGGCAGTGGAGCTGGGAGTAAGCACGGGGCCAAAAGGGTGACCTTCCCGTCGGACGAAGACATCGTCTCGGGTGCGGTTGAGCCGAAGGACCCTTGGAGACACGGTAAGACCTTTGCAGTTCTAGCATCACTTTTGAACCATCAGAGCTGATCTCCTGCGGTCTGCATTGTTGCTCTGCTCTAAAAGCTTTGCGTAATTGTGCCCCAACTGTTCGGTTCCTGCTGAGTTGAAGCCAAGGCTTTGAACGTGGCTTCTGTTACCTGTTACGCTCTGAGCCATTCAGGCCTTTTCCTGAAAGCCTCCTGTGATCCGAGTGACGTTTGATCCGTAAGTATTCCAGGGTCATTCAGCGGCTCCATAACAACTGCTGCGATCCGTCTGAGCCCCGGGCCGCTGTCTCGCAGAAACCCCTCGAACTCTTCCGGACGGTGGGTATCGCGTGAAACACGTTCTGAGACCTCGGCATCTTGCAGGCCAAGTGCCGGTTCATCTCTTGGAAAACCGAGAGATCCAGAACCGCACGCTGTTGTGCTCGATTGGCTGCGATGTGTCAGATGTTTTTGAGCCAGCAAAAATATAACTTTTTTTTTCTAGGCCAAAGGTTTTCGAGGTGTGTCTCTTTTAAGCCTGCAGGGAATCTCCTTTGCGTATGTCGCACTGGTCAAGGTGTCGTCTGTCGCTTGTGTCTGTGGAAGCTCAACAAGTGAAACAATGACGCTGTTGAGACACAATAAACGCAGTGTTTGGTCTGGCAGCTGCTGTTTGTTTACTTAGCAGTGTCACATTATAAAGGCACTTGGAAAATGCAACGTGTTTAAAAATATTTGTCTTTGTACACAGTTTAGCCTAGTTTTGACATGGTTATTGTTTCCAGTCATCTACTGTACAAACACAGTTCAGTCAACTTTGTGTGAAACTTGACTTGAAATTGTATTATATGTGGTATAAATTATAATTGCGTATATATTGGGGGGCACATCTGTAATTATTTTACATTTAAAGGGATGGTTGATTGATTTCAATTTTTTACCTTTAGTTAGTGTGTAATGTTGCTGTCAGAGCATACACTTCTGTAAAGTTACAACGCTCAAAGTTCACTGCAAAGTTAAATTTTCTTTTAAAGGGGTCATATGATGCTTTTTTAAAGATCATTATTTTGTGTATTTGGTGTAACAGAATATGTTGACATGCTTTAATGTTCAAAAAACACATTCTTTTTCAAATACTGTACATTATTGTAGGTCCTCTATGCCCCGCCTCTCTCAAACGCTTCGTTTTCTACAAAGTCCCTCCTTCCGACAAGCGCAGTCTGCTCTGATTGGCCAGCTGACCCAGTGCATTGTGATTGGCCGAACACCGCAAGCATTCGTCAGAAATGTAACGCCCCTTACCATAATCGCGAGCTTCATCTTTCAAAACAAAATAAAGGTTACTGAAACCACACCTTCTTTCTTTACGTGAACATTTGGGCGCATTATGCTAATATTTCCACATAGTGAGGTAGATATGTGGGGGCGTGTTAGAACGAGCCGTTTTAGGGGGGCGTGGCAGAGTCTTAACTTTGATAAAGAATATCTCTTTGGTTTTGAGACTTTAGTCTTTGCAACTTCAGGGATCTTATCTATTCACAATCAGCTTGTAACACTCCAAAGAGAAAGGAAAACTTGAAATCGCATCATATGACCCCTTTAAAGAAATCGCTGTTTAAGGACTACAAAAAAGACTGGTAGGGACTACGACGAGCTTCTTCCGGTGTTTGTGACATCACTAACCCTGATGTTTACATAAATCTTGCCCCTGGGAACATGCATCTACCCGTAATGGTAAAGGGGGCGTGATATTTCCGGACAAAGTGCACTAGGCGGTTAGCGAATCACAACACACTGGGCCAGCTAACCAATCTGAGCCTGATTACGTGTTTCTGAGGGAGGGGCTTCAGAGAACCAGGAACTCAACCGGCCGCTTTGAGCAGAACGGAAACGGAGATGTAGAATAAAGGTAAAATATGTGAAATTAATGCATAAAAAAACAAAACAAGCATGAACACATTACACTGTACCCCATAAACACAATCAAGCCTTTGAAAAAAGCTTATCAACGACCCCTTTAAATATGAATGTTCTACATTAAATCAAAATGTAATTTGTAACAATTTAAAAATACATTAGTAGCACTTTAAATAACACAATTATACAATATGACAATGTCAATGCATTAAATATCTTGAACCATAAACAATAGTTTTACAGTAAACTGTTATTTTTTTAGCATTTAAAAAAAATTTTAACATTTAAAGTTGCTTAAAGCATAACGAATTATGGACGAACATAAACAATGAATAATTATGTACATTTACATTATTCTGTATAAAAAATAAAATAAGAAATGCGTTTAACAAATGTAATCATATTGTATGGTTTTACCTGTATTATGCAGCGTTTGAAAGATCATTAGTAATGTTTATTAGTTCAAAGTATTATCAGTTTACTTAGTATTCATTACATAATCCTCTTCGTGGAGAAGAGAGCTTTGAATTGCACATTTTAAAGGATCCAGGTCCAGCTATCCCAGGCTATTTGTGGTAGTGGCCTAATGTTTAAGTATCTGATTAGTAAGCACAAAGGTTGCTGGTTCATTTCCAAGTAATGTTGTCCCTGGAGTTCCAGCGATCCCTGTCCTGCTCCGCCACCATTGTGCCTTTGAGCAGGGCACAGTATGCTAGGTCACTTCAGCAGGACTGTCCTTGCAAATACTGTGAATTGCAATAGTTAGTTATGCTCTGAATTTTAAGCAACTTAAAATTAAAGTCTGTTCAACACTCTCTCCGCAGACTCATAGTTGTCACATAGTTGCATGTGGATTTTTCCCACAGCTTTTCATTTCTTTAACTTGCTTTCTAATAGTCTTTTGTCATTACCAATGATTAGGAGGGAAGCTTTTATGCCACAGGTGTTGGCTGGTCTTATTTCACAGTCTCACATTGTTCTGTTGGTTTTTAGGTATGAGGAAGTAGTTGAAGTCAGCTGCCTGTACTGTACGCTCCTATAATTTCCTTATATTCTAAGACTGAACTTCCCACTTTTGTAGCTTGGTTTCCTGCACCATTTCCTCAGACCCAGAGTCTTGGTCTCAGGGAAACACTACAGTGTTTGTGTGTCTCCTGTAAATGACTTCATGAGAGAGCCAGTGGATCAGATTAGAAACCAAGCTGCTTGTTCTGTTACTCTGTTGTGTTCGCACTTCGCAGTGGTGACTTATTACATTTTAAAATATAAAGAATATTTAATAACTTCTATTTGAATATATTGTAAAATGTGTAAAAATTTTTCCCAACCGACGCTCATTAACCGATTGTTAACCGTTAACCGACATGATTATTTTAAATTAGAATAGAGTTAAATTAGAAAGGATAAGTGTCTGTGACCCGTTAAAAATACTAACATTTGTTTCCCGGGGGTTCATTTACTTGCGCAAAAAGCAGCAAACAACAGAACATGAGGATTCACATGGTCTTCATATCACATCACGCACCTGCAGCGCTTCTGCGAGCGGAGAAAATCATAATAAAGCTAGCCTATATATATATATCTATCTATGTGTATATAACAAAATAGGCCTATACAAGAAACATATTTTTACTTAAATTAAGAAAATGAAAGAAAAACTGTGCAACAAGTATTATGCAGAGTTTCGGTTCATTTTTATGCTGCGCGAAAGGAAACCAGACGACAGAAAGCGGCATCCTATTTTTCTTTAGGCTTATTTTACAGAAGCACAAAGATTTGTTTTTATTGTGAATGTACACAAATAAAGGCTAATTTTTTACAATTCTGATTATCTTTGACTAAAAAGAGTAGTTTCTTCCACTGTTAGAAGGAAACAATTCAAGTGATTGCACCGGCGCTGCATGCGCGCACACAGTTAAGCATTGCTACCTTGACAATGCAACCTGTTCATTATCATAATAAAATACAGTCAGTCAAACATATGGAAAAAAAACACTGCTCAGTTTAAATATGTAGTAAAATCTGTGCTGTTAAATGTTATCACAGTATCGCCGTGATGTTATGCAAAACATTTTGTTTTACGTGGACATTGGAACGTGAGTGAAGTACATAATAAATAATAATTTGCCATTCAAATACATTGCGAATACGGAAACATTTGATTTTGTGTGGAATGAGAGACCCAACGTTGGTTTTGTTTTAGCCTAAATTAATTAGTTTTGGCTTGTCGTTTATATTGCTATAGCTTCTTATATTTTTTTATTCTTGTTCTTTTCTAAATACTGTTAATTGAAATGATGTGTTGTGGACTGAGGGCAACTAAAATAGCCTAGCTATGTTTACAGTGTTTATTATGATGTTTGTAAACATTTCGTGTCGGCATTAGGCCTATTTCTGAATGAAATGATAAAATGCAACTTATACACGACTTATGTTTTTTCCCCCTAAAAGCACATTTTTTATACGCGTAGTGCATTTTAACCATGCAGCAAACCTTTTTAAATATTTGGATAAATTACTGAATAATTAAATTACTTTTTAAACCATTTAACTGATTGTATTAATCGGTCAAAATTCTTACAGTCGGTTAACCGGTTAAACGGTTAAAATGAACATCTCTAGTTGTTTTGCATTTTATTATTGTTTTGCATCGTATGACGTGTGTGTATATATATATATTGTCCTGGCTTTTCTAAGCTCTGTCATTGTATTGGGCGGGTGTTTCAACTCAACAGTCCAAAACACGTTAAATAAAGCGCATGCATCCATAATAAAATGTGCCTCACGCGGCTCCGGGGGTGAAGAAAGGCCTCCTGTAGCGAATCCAATATCCATATTTGAAACGTAATAAACACTTCTCTCTCACTTCATCTAACTGTGGTACGTGGAAGATGTCGGTGTTGCGTGATTAGTGACGAACGTGGAGAGAGAACAAAACAAAATGCCGGTCACGAATTAGAAGCACAAAACGAGGATGTGTAAAGAAAAATGTCGGAGGATTTCGATATAAGCCAAGAGGAGACTGGTTTTCCTTTGCTAAAGTAAGGAAACTTTGCTGCTTTAAATTAGTGAGACTAGCATATCTCAGAGGTGTGTG